CAAGTGCACAGTGTCCCGGTTTTCTCTGCATCCATATCTGCCTCTCTACCTCCCTCCATCTCGCCTCCGCCTGCAGTGTTCTGGCCAGCACATAATTGTCTAAGTGCTTCTGGATGGCAGCGGGCTATTTGGTCATTAAGGGACCTATTAAGTTATTAGTGCAACAGTGGGACTGCCGTCTGCCTGCCGACGGGACCAGATGATCGACCTGATACGTGTAGCCCTGCAGTTTTCCACATATTTGTGCAGGTAATTATAGCTTAGATGTGAAACACCCTCAGATGTCACGCTTAAAGAGGGGATACACGTCGCCAGCACACTTTAAAGGTAATCTCCTCTTCCCCTTCTCCTCCTCTCCTTCCACCTCTTTTTTCCACTCAGTGTGTGTATGTGTATGTGTGTGTTTATGTGCATGTGTGCAGATGAGCAATGGGTTAGCAATGAGACAACCAGAGCCTCGGGACATGTCAGGGAGAAAGATAGGGAGCGAGAAGAACTGAAATGAAATCCAAAAGGAATGAGGAGGTCAGAGAAAAGACTAGCAAGTGCAGACACCAAATCGCTTTTTCCATCAGTCAGACTCCCCTGGCTGACACATCCCTTCAAACCCAAACTTACACACCCGTCATGAAATGTAAATATTTGGAAATGGGTAAGGTTGGATGTTACTTAATTCCTCCATTTAAAGATGTCCTGTTTAGGTGAACACGATCCAAGAAAGACAAAGTATTCTGCATGATTTGATACGACGCATGGGAACCTTATTTTGATTTCATTTCTGCTGTTACTTTTAGAAACCCTTGCCCAGTTTTTGGAGACGTCCTCTACCCTGGGCCCAGGCTATTATAGTCGCTGCTTACCATAAATGCACATCAAGAAGCTGCCATGCACAGCCAGAAACTTCTGGATCTGTTCAGAGAAAAACATTCCTCCTGGATATGTGCTGTATTTTACTCTTACTGATTTAAAATCGTTTTCAAATCACTGATTTGTATCCCTGGGCTATGCTTTTTATGCAGTCCAATCTGAATTGGAAAACCAAACACAACTACAAATCAAAAAGAATATCTTATGAAATAACACAGACTTATGGGAAACTCCGTTGGGTCTAAAGGGAGTGTCTGGCTCAGACAGACACTCACTTTTTAAAACTCACAGTTTGTTGTCCAAGACACCAAGTGCCTTGCATAATACAGTTTCATCCTAGAAATCCTCAACATCATCACAGTTATTCATCATTTCCTCAAGAAATACATTATCGTGATACTCCAGTTACATCTCCAGGATTCAAGGCGTCCCTCTGTGACCACAGCACATGTCAGGCTGCAGCGTCAGCTTCAGCACAGCGTCCTCACCAGCAGCAGGATGGCACAGGAGCCACCCTGATTGAAATAGACACGTCCGACTGACAGTGAGGCTGTAAACAAAGATCCTCCTCACCAGGAGGAGGACAACCCTCCTGCTGGGAGGAAACTGGATTCTGTCACCTACGACGCCACCATCCCTGAAAACTCCTTACACAGCTCCTTCTGCAGCCCTGAGGTGTGCCGACAGCCATTTCTGTCTCTTTCTCACACACGCACACACGCTGTCTCTCACACAAGTCTTAGCACAAAATAGCTCGAGCTGATGGAAACTTAGCCTTACCAGACGCTGAGCCAGGTACTCTATCAGATCTGGGTGCTGCCTGCCTGTGCCTGCTCAGCAGTGCCCAGACTGACCCCAGCAGACTGCCAGTCTCCGCACCGCTCTGCTGCTCCGCGGCTCCGCAACCACCTCCCGCCATGACCTTTGACCCATGCCCAGGGAGACAGGCGCCACTGATATGATGTAATTTCTCTCCGACATGGGCCAGTGGCCTCAGCTGCAATGCGACCCAGGGAAAATAAATACGGGTGTTTATTTGGTGAGAGAGAGAGGCCCACAGGCTGGAGCCACCCTCATGTTTCCAAAAAGTAGCTGCGCAATAATTCCATTTCTGTTCCACATCTTATCACCGCATGTAGGTGGAAATAAGTCACTGACGTTTAATGCTGTGCACCACCGCCACGCTGCACCATTGTTCTGGTGCTGACTGCTGAGAGAGGAATTTCTTGTTTCAATTTCAACAGATTTCAAAATGACCTTGCATCTTCTGAGACATTCTTCAAATTGACGACAGATCAATTAACTTGATGAGTCACGTTGCTAATTTAGCGCACCCCGCCCTTGTGGGGAAAAGGAAGTATAATTGGTGATATTGTATCTTGGCGATTTGGCAGTAGAGCTTGCACCCTCTGAGACACTTGGTGCATTCACAAAGACTTTGGTGCTCGTCAGCTTGCCCAGTTGTCAACCTACATCAACGTCCACGGAACTGGAGAAGAACCAGGCATGATGACCGGTCTTTGTTTCCACTGCCTATAACCTCCCTCTCACAGAGTCATCCACACCTCTCTGATATCTAAAGGGACCATTAAGAGGCCTCAGACAGACGGGACTCTTCATTAGAGGTCCATGCAGCACACTTGAATGTCTCCCTGTCTCACCAACGTCACCAAGGATCACTCATAGGCTGTATAGGGATCACTGCATTAAAACACCTGCTCCGCCCCCTTTCATCCCCACAGAGGTTGATTTATTTGCTGCACCACTTTTTGTCTAAAAACAACATCCTCTGAGGTTACAGGTTCCCCGCACGACAACTAACCCACAGAGCTGAACAAACCTGCCTGTCTCCCACTATAGCGCTTGTTCCACTGCCAGGTGCCTGTGACGAATCCACATTGTGATAGATGATAAATCTCCGACGTTTATGTTTCTAAGAGCAAAATTACAGGATATTGTAAGCAGCTACTTTTTTATTGAGAACAAATAATATGTGGCCCGACAGAGTTTGGATCCTTTCCCAACTCCCCTTTAAAGAATCGCTCATGTTTCAGATTAGCGTTAGTGGTGAGACGATGTACATCAGTCTCTGTGCATTCTCAACCCCTCGGCTGCCTTTGCTCGGCTCCGCAGTCAGTCTCTATCTCTGCCTTTCCCTCTCTCCAGTGTCTCGCTTCCCTTTCTTCTGATTCCCACCCACGCATTTTCTCTTTGACTCTCTGTCTATCCATCCCCCTCTGACCTCATCTCTGTTGCAGTCAAGCGTACAGGGATCCAATCAACCATAGTGTTCAGATTAAATCACAAATTATTATAATTGAGAATAATGGTTTCCATGTCAGTTTCAGTTGGGCTCGGAATTGTTCTCATACATATCTGGAAATGAGGGGGCTGGAAGCTGCAGTCCGGCGCTGCTCGTGCTGTGGAGGGGTGAAACTCAAGTTATCCATGATCAAATTTTGACAGAATTTCCATGGCAATAAAACTCTTATCTGAATTTGAGCACCTGTCTTGTAAAAGTTTTACTGTCCACTGTAAATCCAGAGCATTCTGTCTGTGCTTTTGAGCACTGAGGAATGATGGATTATGAAGATTGAAGTGAAACAGAAGTTCTCCAGGAACATAAACACAGTTTACTTAAGCTGGACAAACTCTGTTACAGTGTCATTCAAGACAGTGTTGCTTTTAGGGGCAGTGCCTGCCAGCATGTGTCACTGAGGCTGATAAAAACAAGGGACATGAATGCTTTAATAAAAAGTAAAGGGCACGTCTACAGGAAATAACAGACTATGAAAACTGCAAAGCCTTCCGTACAGCATTACCACTTGTCCTCTTCATTACTGAGAAGCCCAGTGTGCCTTGCTGGGCTTATTTCTAGGGGCAGTAAAGCTCTCAGGCATGTGCAGGGCATGCAGTGCGGTTTTTGACAGTGTAGTTAGGAGGTGTTGATGAAAGCGGAGAGGCTATGAGCCCACTGCCTCTCAAATTAGCCCCAGAGACCTCCGACGTGTCACATGTAGGCTTAGGCCTTTCACAGATTCGGTTGCATTGCACCACCAATGTGCACGCACCGAGTTTCGGAGTCTTACAGCGCGCCTTCGTGTGTGGCGTTTCATGCACGCAAAGCACATGTGTTCGGTTATGAATTCACACACACAAACACACACATACTGAGATGTTTTTCCTCCGGATTTTAGATGAAAGGTCGCAGAGAGAGTTGAAGAGAGCATCCTCATCACAGAGGGACCTCCAGTAGTTAGACAATTTATCTCAAGCTATTTAACACAGGTGACTCATCTTTAAAGCATTGACGTCGTCTCAACTTACTTCTACATCATAAACATGATGTAGATGAACGACAAGACACTGCGCTACGCGTTGAGTTGGCTCAGTGGCAAAAAACAACATGGAGGTGTGGTAAAACAACCATTCGGCTCCCACGTCCACATTCATTTATTTGACATTTTTGAACATTTTCAACAAGACTTGAAAATAAAGTTCCGTGTCCTGATAAAGTTTCACATAGGCCTATAAACAGAGGACGCACTTAACCACCAAAAAAGACACAGAGGTCAAAAATACACAAGAATGAAGCTAAAGTATTCAACAATACACTCCCTATGCTTTGCTCATCAATTCACTTGGTTATTTCCTTCATTTCTTATTCTCTGATTACAGTGAGAGTCTCATGTTTCCACAGACACACAGACAGTCTGCTCTAACGAAAGAGAGAACGCTCTGCTCTTCTCACCTTTTCTTATCTTTTCTGGATGTGCGTTACTCAGCCTGATCTCTTTCTTTGCAGATTCAGCTGTTGAGTGTTTGTTTAGTGAGGTGGAGGGGAATCCATAACCGTAAAGCTGTCTCCAGCAGAAGACTTTTAATCACCTTGTCTCGTCCTATATTGTCTTCTTCCACATTCTCCGGCTGTTCCTCTCAAAGATGGTGCAACAACCAATATTTGTTCACATACACTCAACTTTTACAGTGGATTATAGATTCAGACTTGTTTGTCTTCGTGACAGAATGATACACAACTTGAGGGTTTTCTCATGCCCCCTCTAGGCCTGTTTTGCCAGTGCAGTTAAATGTTCCCAGTGTATCCACTCAAAAAATAAAAAAACTCCTCTTACCTGAGAGAAGTTGAGCCCATTGAGGGGGTGACACTGCTCCTCCACCCGCTCCACTGCCCCTGTCGTCTTCCTCATCCTCTCAGCTTCCTGAGCCAAGAACAGATCCAGCACCGGCGTCCCCCTGGACCGGACGTCCAACTCTGTCAGCGAGTTGACCATCAGCATCACCCACACAGGTCTTTTCCTCTCCCAGTTCCCTGCGATGGCGTTGAACAGGTAGTCGGCGTACAGGCCACGGCCGCGCTGGTCAGCGGTCATCCAGTAAGGCATCATGTGTTTGACGTAGTCCAGGTGGCGTTTGAGGCGGCGGTACAAGTCCCGAGGTAGCAGCGTCTGCAGGTTCTCCCCATGGGGCAGCAGCTGACAGTTAGTCAGCTTGGAGATGGTGAGAGGGTCAGTCAGGTCCAGCTCAAAGAAAACATTGGGGCTGTTGTGGAAAGCCTGCTTAGAGCTGTTGGGGATGAAGTCCCAGACTCGTGTGTAGGGGACGTGGATGGTGCCGAATAAGTAAGAGGGTGGATGAGGAGGTGAACGCTTCACTGTCCACAGGAAGGAGTTCATGTCACTTTGCTGTGGAAGAGTCAGAGGCAGGAGAAGAGGGAAAAAAATCAAAGATGAAGGCAAAAGATTTTGAGTGCAAAAGGAAACTAAAATACCAGAACCATCACACTGGAGCAAATCATCTCGCCTTAAAACTGAAGCTGACACATTTTTCCTCTATCGTGGTTTACTGGCTCATAGGCTCAGGTCAACAAGTTAAAGATTGAAATACCATTTTGAGACGACGGCAGCTCGGGGCTTGTGCTGCGAAGGCTTGCTGCAGCGGTGCAGTGCAGGGAGTTTATAGAGGGGCCTTCTGGGCTGTAAACAGACCCCCGTGTATTGTTGAGGTGCATACCTCAGTTTGCCAAAGCCTCTTTTGGGCCTGGGAAGCATTTTGAAGGCTGCAGTGCAAATATACTGCAGTGGAGCTCATAAAAGCCAAAAAACTGAAAGAAACCTGCTCTCCTGCTCTGACCCCGCTGTGATACTTTAGTTTGTGATTATTTTTTACACCAGTCAGGGAGATGTGGTGCTGACAGCCTTAAGTTCAGCACTGCCTTTTGTCCTGGATGGGTTACACTACAGGAAGTGTTTGCCTATTGTGGTTGTCATACAAAACAATGTCACAATGGAAATGAAATAATCCCAGCCACTTTAAATATGAGCATGCTGCATTTAAAATATGTTTCTTGTTAAGTGCTCTGAAAATGTGCTGCGCATGTGCATGTAACTTTGATGTTGGCATTATTCAAATATGAAAAAAGAATTTGCTTCTATACGCAATATAAAACTCTTGGCGTCTGACAAACAGCGTAATCAGGCATTTGAAGGGACGAAACCCATTACTGTAAAATAAAGTTATTCTTAGAAAATGTTTACTTCTAGAAATTTAATCAAGATTTCTTGCAGCATGTGTTTCAATGATATACTGCACCCTGCCAACGCTGCCTTTTGCCACATAAAACTTCTCAAATATAGCTGCCAAGAAGTCGAGTGAAGTGGATGTTCTGTTATCATCATAATTAACTGCGAGAAACATATACAGCTTGTATTTCTGGCACAACGTCCCTCTAGACAAAATAAATCTTAACTGCAAGATTTAATTTCAAAGCACAGTTTAGTTTTTGGTGTTTTAACAGAGGTTTTTAATCCAACGTTCACATTTGACGCTGCAGGCTGAGGGTTCAGAACCATCTCCAATTTCTTTTCTTTCTTTTTTTTTGCATGTGCAGCTTTCTTAACGAGCAAATGTTCGCTTATAGGACTTTACCCATAAAAGCGTACTTTTTGGACATAGAAAGTGCAGCTTGTGTGAGTCCTCCTGCAGGAGAAGAGGGTCGGGGTCCCCTCAGTGAAAGCTGCGTGGACTAATCTGGAGAGGAGAGGCCCTACGCGCATGCACGCAGCCTCCCTGTTCTTTAATGGGGGGAAAATGACTCTTAACAGAAAACAGAGGCCACTGTACTGACGCATTACAAATCACATGAAGCGAAGGAGCACGGGGCCCTCTGTGATCTCACTCAAATGATCCGTTCTCTTATAATGCAATAATGAAACAAAGGCCTGTGATCTCCGAACGACTCCTAATGCCAACCCCAATAACATTCACACTCACGGGCACGACCGCAAGTGTCTGCAGAGGTCACAGCTACAGAGGCCGGCCGTGATGTGTTTCCCTTGAAGAGAAGGACGCGTGTTGGATGAGATGTTTGCAGTCATGATCTTGATTAACTTTTTTTCCCATCCTCATGTGCGTTCACGGTGGGAGGCAGACACGTTCTAATGGAGATGATCTTGCGCACTTCCTCACGGGGACGCGCTCCTGCAGCCCTCATCCATAATTCCACCAATATGTCCGATGAGCGGTTTTAAGAGGCCGTGCGTGTATATGCGTCAGTGCGTGTGCGTGTGCGTGTGTTGCGTTGAAACACGATCACTTCCCCGAAAGGTCAGAAACGTTTTTTGCGCATGAAGTCAAGTCATCCGTGGGTGTTCCCCGCTTGCGTTTGTCACATAAACAGCCGTAAAGTTGGCGAGCGGTGCAGATTTCTCTTGGCAAACATCAGTTCATTTGTGAGGCCCCGAGTCTGTGGAAGCTGGAGCTGAACTGAGCCTCTCTTATTGTGAAAATGTAAAGTTTTAAATCACTGGACATGTTTTATAATCAATAATACA